CGTCCTTAAATGACCTTAGCTGTTAATAGGACGTTAAAAAAAACAAAAACAAAACAATCAAACAAACAAAATTGTTATACTTGACAGTCTATCCTGTAATCGTCACAATATACAACTCCGTCCTGTAATTGTCGCAATCTATTGTCTCGTCCTGTAATCGTCACACTCTACAGTCCTGTTATCGTTATACTATATCAGTTCAATCCTTTAATCGTCAGGATGTTAAGTCTCGTCCTGTAATCACAGAATGTTTAGTCCCGACCTGTAATCGTCACCCCCTACAGTACAGCCATGTTATCGCCACACCCTACAGTCCCGTTATGTAATCGTCACACTCTGCATTCTCGTCATGTATTCGTCACATTGTAAAGTGAAGCGTTCATAAATCTTCCAAAATACTTTAGTACGAAATACTCTGATTATGTCTAGATTGTTTTAGTGTGTAAATAACTAATATGCTTTTAGCATAGACATACTTCTAGATTTTATCTTGCAATAATGTAAATAACTGATTTCATTTTTGTTATAGCAACTTGCATTACTATCCACAACAATAACATCTCATACAACACCGGAAACTCCTCCAGCACAGCACAACGGTCTTCAACAGGAAATCCTACAACATCGGCACAACGGTCAGTAACGGGAACTTCTACGACAACGACACAACGGTCCACGAAGGAAATTCCTACAACATCAGCACAACGGTCTGTAACGGGAACACCTGTACTCTTTAAACCTGATACATGAACACAATTAGGAGTTGTGAAAATAAGACACTGTATTCAAAAATGGGCATATTTACCCAGTATTACACAAAGGCAGCAAATTAATAATGCCCTATACATGGCACTAACAGTGGTGGTGTAAAAATAACTTGGACAGAAGTGAGGACTTGTGAGTTCTGGATACAAAGGAAATTGCCACTACAAGCATGGTGAAAACTGGTGTGGTTCTCGTTGAACACTCCTTTGGGCCACAAATTTGGAGTGGCAATTCAATTTTCATTGTAAATGTTCAGTTCTTTTGATGTTATTTTAATAACTCATTGCCACTTTCCTTTTGTTTGTTTGTTTGTTTGTTTATGTTTAACGGCCCATCGACGGCTGTGGTCATTTAGGGCCATGGTGATTTATTTATTCACTTTACTTTTTTAACAAACATGTGAATAGCGAAGATAAAATCAGATAAAATGGTTCATTTTAAAAGTATTCGCATTGTATGTGTAGATAATTAAAAATAATAAAAGGGGGTTAAAATAATAAAAGAGATAACGAATAGATGATATGGAATATGCGATATATATATAACGTCAAAAAGGATAAGGTGGGTTAAAAGACATCAGAGTCTATAAAATAGACCGATGTCTTTCAAATAGTTAAATAATGCCTTCGAATCCACGGAACTGAAAAGTGTTTTCATATCCGGGACTCGGAAGTAGTTATCACGAATGTGTTTAAAATCGGAACATTCTATTAAAAAATGCTCCACTGTAAATGGAGTGTCACATGCGTGGCATGAAGGTATATCTTCTCGTTTTAAAAGGTACGAATGAGTAGGATATGTGTGCCCAGTGCGGAGCCGAGCGAGGACAACTTCCTCTCTACGATCTTTCCGACTGGGAATAGATGTTTTAAGTTTCGGTTGTATCTTAAAAAGTTTGTTGTTGGTCTCCAGAGACCAGCGTTTCTGCCATTCATTTTGAATGGCTGTACGAATAGTAGGTTTAAAATCTGTGTATGGTAGTTTGATATTTGTTTGTTCGAGATTCAATGCATTTTTTGCTTCCCTGTCAGCAAATTCGTTGCCTTTTATTCCGACATGGCTCGGAATCCATAGTAAAGTTATTTTAGACTTTTTTAATATACGAGATATTCGATGAGCAAGGTTTTGTACGATTGTGTTTTTAGGATCTCGTAACTGTAAACTCTGTAGGACAGATAGAGAGTCTGAACAAATAATTGCCTTTTTAATGCGGTGTTCATCGATATGGTCGAGGGCCAAACCAATGGCGCATGCTTCAGCAGAAAAGATGGAGGCGCCGTCTGGTAGTCGGACTGAAGTGCAAGTATTGGCAGTACAGCAGGCTGCTGCCACTTTCTCACCTTCTTTGGAGCCATCGGTGTAAAGTTGTGTATGAGAAGGGTAATTCGAAATGCATTCCCGAAAGGAGGATTTGTGTTCTTCGGGCATAACACTTGATTTCCCTCGCTCATGTAATGTAAAGTTAAAATCGGGGGTTTGAATGGTCCACGGAGGAACATCAGATATGTTAAATTCAGCTATGTCCGTCAATTTTATGTTGAGTTCTTGCAGGAAATTCAAAATTCGGATACCAAATGTTGGCAGAAGTTTTTGGTTTTGCGTAAATATGTTTTGGTATTTGGGGTTGAATACTTGGTTGAAAGCAGGATTTTTAGGGTTTGATTTTAATTGAGTTGCAAATTGTAATGAAAGTTTTATTCTTCTGTCATAAAGGGATGGTTCATTTGCTTCCACGTACAGGCTTTTTACAGGTGTTGTTCGAAAAGCTCCCAGGGCAAGACGTAGCCCTTGGTTATGGATTGGATCTAGCATCTGAAGGTACGAACTGCGCGCTGACCCGTATACCATAGAACCATAATCCAGTTTTGTTCGAATAAGTGATCTGTATAGGCGCAAAAGCATTTCACGATCCGCTCCCCAATCAGTATGAGAAAGGACTCGTATAATGTTTAACGCCTTGGAACACTTATCCTTCAGATACTTTATATGTGGTATGAAAGAGAGTTTCGAATCAAAAATGAGGCCGAGAAATTTAGTCTGTTCAACAACAGGAATTCTAGTGCCATCGAGTGTTAGATTTGGGTCATTGTGTGCTTTTCGTTTTTGACAGAAATGCATGCACACAGTTTTGGATTTAGAGAATTTGAAGCCGTTTTCGTCTGCCCAATTTTGTAGTTTGTTTAAACTCTGTTGAAGTTGTCGTTCTATCGTGTGCATGTTCTTAGATCTGTAACAGATCAAGAAGTCATCCACAAATAACGACCCTTCTGTTGATTGACCAAGACATTTGACTATATCATTTATTTTAAGTCCAAACAGTGTGACTGATAGGATTCCACCCTGTGGGACTCCCATTTCCTGTTTAGACGTTTCAGAAAAAGTTGAACCAACACGGACTTTGAAGTGTCTATCTGATAGGTAATTAGATATAAAATTGGGAAGGTTTCCACGTACGCCAAGGTCGTGAAGATCTTTCATGATGCCATACTGCCATGTAGTATCATAGGCCTTCTCAAGATCGAAGAACACAGCGACAAGGTGTTCTTTCTTGGCGAAAGCCTCTCGAATGAACGTCTCTAATCTGATGAGATGGTCATTTGTCCCTCTTCTATTTCTAAAGCCACTTTGAAGAGGGGATATTATATCGTTGGCCTCAAGAAACCAAACCAGTCTAGTGTTTATCATTCGTTCTAAAGTTTTACATACACAACTAGTCAGAGAGATAGGACGATAGTTGTTTGGGTCAGTAGCATCCTTTCCCGGTTTTGGGATAGGTATAATTGTGGAGTTCTTCCACGAATCGGGAATCTTTCCGGAAGCGTAAACTTGGTTGAATATGTAAAGAAGGCATGTTAGTGAAGAGTCCGGTAAGTGCTTTAGAAATTGATATGGAATATCATCAGGACCTGAAGCAGTGTCCTGTGATTTTCTAAGCGAATCAACAAGTTCTGGTAGGGTAAATTGTTCATTATAACTTTCTTTGTTTGATGATTTGAAATTGAGCCGTTTCTTTTCTCTCTTTTTTTTCAAAGACTGGAATTTTTGGGAGTGGTTTAGAGGGGATGAGTTTTTAGCTATGTTTTTTGCAAATGCATCAGCAATTTCAGTTATAGACGAGAAAATTTTGTTTTTATTAATGAGGTGGGAGGATGTTGCCTTTTTCTTTTTCCCACTTATTTTCCGAATCATATCCCATACTTTTTTTGAGGACGTGTTTGATGATATCTTGGATACATATTCTCTCCAGCTGTTTCTTTTGTCAATTTTAATTGATCGCCGAGCCTTTGCCCGCCAAATTTTAAATTCACTGTAGTTTGAAGCAGTTGGGCAATTGAAGTAGCGTCTTAGAGCAGCTGCCCGATTACTGCGTGTTTTAAAAGATTCTTCAGATAAAAGGAACTTCGTAGGTTTTGGAGCGGATTTTGGAATTGTCTTTTGGGCAATAGAAGTGAGTGTTTCAGTAAAAGTTTTGATAGGGTCGTCGAGGTTAGTAAAATTGTCTATGGTTAGTTTTTCAATGCACATGTGTTGGAATTGGGCCCAATCTGCTTTGTGCATATTCCATCGAGGTAGAGGATCATCAAGAGGAGTCCCAATATTCTGAAGAAAAATTGGGAAGTGGTCACTCCCACAAAGATCATCATTTACCCTCCAGTCATAGTCAAGTAAAATGGATGGATGGCATAATGATAGATCAATGTGGGTACGAGAGCCTGTAGCAGGGTGTAAATAAGTAGGGGTATTGTTGTTAAAAAGGCACAAGTTGTTTTTATCTATAAATTCCTCAATACGTCTTCCTCTCTCGTCTGTGTTGGGAGAGCCCCACAGGCTATTATGACCATTAAAATCACCGAGGATTATGAATGGTGTTGGGAGCTGGGAGACGAGATTATTGAGTTGCTCACAAGTGAAAACAATACTCGGAGGGAGATAAATTGAACAGACAGTTATTTGTCGGTGTAATGTTGCACAGACAGCAACAGCCTGTAAATTTGTGTTTAACTTGATCATTCTGTGAGGAATATTTTTATGGACAGCTACCGCTGCGCCACCTGCTGCTCTGCTAACTACAGTTGGAATATTAGTGTAGAGTGAGAAATTTCTAAGCGTGATTGGGTTTTTGAGCATGATTTCTTGAAGACAAAAAATGGCGGGTCTAAATTCTTTTGATAGATTCTGAAATTCTTCTATATTTGCCTTTAATCCGCGGATGTTCCATTGGATAATTGTGTTATTTATCTTTTGTTATTTTGGCTGGATTTCGATGGAGTTGAAGCACGAAGCGCGGAGGCATTCGTCTCCATCTCATCATCGAAATCTAGTAGGACATTGAACCGGTTTGTCGGGTCCTCTGATCCTTTGCCAAAGGTGACATTCAGATCCGGTCCTTCGGATTTGCCCCTCGCTATTTTAATTTTTTTCCTAGGTCTGTTGGTGGGTGATGTTGTCTCTGGTTTCAGTTGGGATCGAGGAACAGATGTGAGTGAGCGAGATCGCTGCGAACGCACATGTGCCCTAGATGTGCCAACCTTTGGAGGGTTTTCTCCTGAAGAGGAAGGTGTTTTTGATGGTGGTGCTGGTTTTGATTGTGGTGCTGGTTTTGATGAAGGTGCTGGTTTTGATGAAGATGCTGGTTTTGATGGTGATGCTGGTTTTGATTGTTTGCTGTTTTTGGTTGGTTTTCGAAAAGTCGTGAAACGGGATGGGTCCCCCGTGAGGATTTTCAAGTTCTGTTGACCAGCCATGTCTGGGACTTGTGAGCCCCAGGCAGGTATGTCTTCAGAAACTTGAACCGAAGCATCCTTGACCGTGACACTGTCAACCGGCGCCTTGCCTCGAGTCACTTGTGCGTAAGAGGGTGTAGCAATGTCTGCACTCCCGACTATCCTCCTGGCCTCGGGGAAAGAGACACCTCGGGTATATTTAACCCGTAATATCTCCCTCTCCTGGCTCCAGGTAGGGCAGTCGCGAGAAGAGGCAGCGTGCTTCCCCTCACAGTTGACACAGCGCAGGTTGGCGATGTCACAGTCATTTTGCTCGGTGTGACCCTCACGGCCACAATACTGGCAGATCGATTTTCGTCTACATCGCTTTTCGTGATGACCGTACTTCTGACAGTTTCGGCATCGCAATGGATTTGGGATGTAGACGGAAACGTTGTACCTCTGGTATCCGATTGTTAGTATTTGGGGTAGTGTTGGCGTTGAAAAAGTGATGATGAAGGTGTTTGTTTTGATTGTATCATTGTTTCTCCTGATCACCATCCGCCTCACCTCAGAGACCGGGACGCTCTCCTCCTGGAAATATGCCAGTATGTCTTCATCGGTGTCATTGCGCAAGGCTGGGCACCTGATTACCCCCTTGCTGCAATTAAGTGATGAGTGTGGTTTCACACTGACACCGATGCCGGCAAAACTGGTTGTTCCGAGTAGGTTCATCGCCTGTTGTTGGCGATAAACCTCTATAAGGAGATCGCCCGATCCCAATGGCTTAACGGATTTCACATCCCCTGCGATTCCCTGGATGCCCTTCCTCAACAGAAGTGGCGACAACGCGGCCGTTGTTTTACCACTCTGTGTGGAGGTCATCACAAGGAATTGCGGGAATTGGGTGTTCTGTGTTGCGTTTTGTGTTGTTTTTGAGCTAGGGTCATCGTTCCTGATTTTGGTATGTCCGTCGTTTTGGTGGTTTTTATCTTTACCCATGTGTATATTTGTTTGTTTCACGATCTATGCCTCCACCCGCCACGGAGCCCAACAAGGGGACACTGGTGTGACGCGGATATCCAGCGCCAAGTGTCGGAGATACATAGAATAGTATACTCGTAAGAATATACATACTATTTGAAAGAGTATACTCTCGCGATTGACCCTGAGCCACCGCCTTCTTGGGAGTATGTAAACCAAGGGCTCGGCGTGACCAGCCGATTGGTGATAGAGGGCCCATATCACCTCTCGTCTACCCAGAGTCCGAAGCCAAAGCAGTATGTTGCAGAATATCGGATCATGTCTCCTTCCTATCAAGAGTTTGACAGTGATTCCGACTCTGCTCAGCTACCAGGATCTTCTTCCCCCAGGAATACGAGATGCAACCCACGGCAAACAGGTTGGCTCAAATTGGAGCCTTTTGTGTTCATATATTTTTTTACAAAATACATTGTCATAATAATGTTTGAACTAGTATTGGGTCCCAGGTGTCGGTTGATCATGTTTACTGCTTGCAGTTTACATAAACGCCATACTTCCTTTTCTATATGAAGGTGTAAAATCGGCCGTGCACTAGTGATACGAAAATAACGGTGTGACCCTTGTCTGGGCACCCCTTTTGGGTGACTCCTATGGGGTTAACTGAATATACATATAAAAAAGCAATTTACCCCTTGGTGTTCATGTATTTATGGTTGTTCAACAGTTCTATGTTCTAGTTTTCTGCGCTCTGTATTGTTTTTGATTGTAGGCTATGGCTCCAAAAAAGAGGAGCTCAAAGGAGGTCACTCCAAGGAGACGGGCGGCTGTCGCAAACCCATATGCTCCTCCATCAACTCGGACTTTACCGGCCACCGTGGGCCACTACCACAGATGTATCATCACGGGTTGAAGATCCGGCATATTTTAATCAATATTCCGTTCAGTTGGAAGGCATGATTAGAGGCTTTCAATGCAGGTATTGTAGAAGCTCGTCTTCAATTTCATCGTGAAACCCAGCCCCGTCAAGGTCAACAACACAACATTTCCACACCAGGCCCTTCAACATCTTCACAGATGAAGGAACCACACGCTACCTTACCACCACATGTGGTACCACATACGTCGCAGGTGACGAACCCAATTGCCACACCGGAGTCATCATAATTGGCCATGGAGCAGACCACTATACTCAGCCAAGAGCCTTCACAGACACATGACCTGGGGCCCACACTGACCTCTGCCATTGGTGGGTGTCATACAGTCTGCATCGTCCATTGCTTTGCAATTTGCAGGAGCATCCCCCTCATCAAATGAGCCATTTCATTCCAGCACCATACCTCATAATCAACTGGTGTCTGAAAAAACAAAAGAAAAAATATGGGCAAACAATTTTGTCGATATGAAAACATTAACTGATAAGATATCTCCTGCTTTTGAAATAGTGAAGAGGGGGTACAGAGACAAAACACTACTACTTAAAAGTCTATGACCATTGACGAATGGACTACAAATTTCACTGTTTTCATGACGGTGTATGCAGAGAAATATCCAACTGCATTTACGGAGTTGTTAAAATATTCTGCTCTCATTCGTAATTTGGCCCTGAAACAAGCAGACTGGGAGTGATATGATAAACGCTTCCGGGATCTCCGAGTACATAACTCCTCTTTTTCTTGGGACATCATGCAAATGGAGTTATGGCATGAGGCAGTGACTCGAAAGTCTCATACCACACCCTCTGGTTCGCAATGCATTACAAGGCTCCGCTCGCCTCGCTCCTTCATATGACACACGTTTACCTATAACCGAACACATCTTGATAAGGCTACGTAAGGCACTTCCTTCTATTGTGTCAGACCAAGATGTACAAGTCTTGGTACAGGCGGTTTTTACTGCGGCCTTTTACAGCTTGGCTCGGATAGGGGAATTGCTATCTAACAAGGCTCACGTTAACCATCTCCTGCAGCTTTAAGATGTAGCGTTTGAGCACAATGATCAGATTGCTGTCATGATGCATCTCACTTTCAGAGAATTTAAACACAATATTGCTTGCAAACCTCACGTTATTCCAGTGGTGGCTATTTTGGAATCATTATTCTGCCCGGTTCAGTCGGTAATCAAGTTTGTACAAATACGTGGTTCAGCGTCCGGCCCACTCTTTCTTCTGCCACACGGTTTACCCTTCCCACGAAAGCGTTTCGATGCCATCACGAGTAGAGGTCTTCGGTTTTGTGATCTTGATACATCTCGCTACAAAGGTAATAGCTTCCGAACAGGTGGGGCTTCGTGCGCTGCAGACAAAGGCTGATCTGACACGCAAATTCGACAACTAGCTCGTTGTAAGACAGACACCTTCAAGAGATATATCAGAACAACTGCAAATTGATGACAAAACAACGACAATAAGACATTGTAGCGGGACGCTCGTCTTTGTTGGTTTTGTTACTCTGGTTGTATAACTGTTTTATCACGTTTCAAGTTTTGTACTTAACATTTACACCAGTCGTCACTTAATGACAGGTTTATAACTCCTGTAGCTATTGTAGAAACCAACTTGTGTGAAACAAAGCCTATTGTAAGGCATTTTGGTAGGAACAGATTATTATTAGTTCAAAGTGTTTGTTATTTTCCGAATATCTTGTATATCCATGTTTTGTAGCATATAGTCATCTGATTAGTTAATACGGTTGCAACGGGTAGTTCCAATATGTAAGCCAAATACCAATAAGACATAATAGTACCGGGACACTCGTCTATATTGGTTTTGGTGAAGTTTTTTGTATGAGCCGAATGGCTGTTAAATAACATATAATAACACTTTTGCCATTTAATTAAATGCGAGATTGTAGTATGTACGGATTAACTTCAACAATTTTGTTGAGTTGACTTATTCGTATATACATCTTGTTGTTCGTTATTATTGGTGATCACATTTGTGCAAAATACTATGAGATAACATGCAGTTTGGGTGGCGGCGTCATCGACGATTTAAAATTGACATTTTATAATAAAAGCATATACACATAGTAATTGCATGCAAGAGTTATCATTCTTGAAAAACTTCACAGTAGTGAAATAGGTAGCCGGTTTCTGTAGTACAGAAAAATGGACACATGTGACTCATTGATTAAAAGACAACTGAATTAATGCCTGGATTGCTTTGCAATTCTTTCATAATGAATCAACACACCGTTCTGTCAATAATAAGCATACAATATTCATCACTTTAATATTAAACATTAGATTATGCGGAAATTGTGATACTGTCTCCCTACATTGGATTTTCAACTAGGAATGTACTTCCTATTTCCGTTTAGCAATACACTCCTATGACCTTAAGTTTGAAATAGGTATTTTCAAAATGGCGGCCGTGGCGGCCATATTGGATTTCTGATCGACCCGGCAAATAACAACACTTTGTTAGGACCATGAGTCGATCATTCCTACAAAGTTTCAGTTCAATCTGCCTAGCAGAACTTAACTTTAAGTTTGAAATAGTTTTTCAAAATGGCAGCCATGGTGGCCATATTGTATTTCTGATTGACCCGAAAAATAACAACACTTTGTCAGGACCATGAGTCGATCATTCCTACAAAGTTTCAGTTCAATCGGCCCAGCAGAACTTGACTTAAAGTTTGAAATAGTTTTTCAAAATGGCGGCCGTGGCGGCCATATTGGATTTCTGAGATACCCGAAAAATAACAACACTTTGTCAGGACCATGAGTCGATCATTCCTACAAACTTTCAGTTCAATCGCCTCAGCAGAACTTGACTTTAAGTTTGAAATGTAAAATGTTAACGGACGACGGACGACGACGGACGAAAACGGATAGCAATAGGTCACTTGAGCATAAGCTCAGGTGACCTAAAAAAGTTCCTCTTATCCCTCTTGTCACAATGGATGGTTCCGTTTACCGATGTATTGGGCATGCCCCAGATGTCAAAATGGCGGCGGAGGTTGAGGCGATTCCGGTAGGCTTAATTATACTTTTTCTACGAAATTTGAACAAAAACGTTAAAAGGCAAACATGTTTCATGGATTCACGACGGAAATACAATGGTTGGCATCGTATTAATTGGCAAACTACACAGACTCGCGAGGGCCATGCTGACGGCGTAGCCCGAATCCTGCGTCATACCACGGACTTAGATACGAAGGTAAATGATATGTCACTTTAGTGGGGTAAAAGCAACAATATTGGGTACTAAAAACAGGACAACTTCTGTCGAAATGATGATAAGACGTAAACCCATAGGCATACCACAGACCATGAATGAGAGGTTTGCCTAATAAATAAAATTTAGAGTCCTAGAGTATCAAAAAAGTAAAAACCCTCCTTAACTAACATTAATCTATTAAGCTTAGTTATTTAATTTCATGTAGAGAGAGAGGGAGTGATATTAAGTTTCATTTATATGAGATTTAAATATAGAGATTCTCTATTTTGATTACAAAATCACCAAATAAAGGTGTTCTTTTTAAAACATTATTTTAAAAAAGTAAAATAATAAATTATGGAGAATATTAACATAAGCTGATAGTTTTATGCGATTGCATTTTTTAACAAGAGGCCCAAGGGCCTTAGCGCTCACCTGAGTTATATCATAGGTACTGGTAGCTTTATTTTATTGTTTAGATGTAATGTGTCATCAAAGGATAAGAATTTGAAAATATTGGTAAATGGAAATTTGGGGCCCCGCCCTAGGCCTGGGGGATCGGGCAGGAATCCTAATTTTACAATGTAATACCCTCATTCACTAAAGATGATTCTGACTAAGTTTGAACATTTTTCTGCATAAAATATACCCAAAAGTGTTATTTCCCTATATAAACTATAGTAAACTTTACCCCCTCCCCAAGGGAGAACAGATAGATCGGGGGTCCTAATATTTACAAATTTAGATAAAGCCCTCTGGGTCCGGAGAAGAAGATTTTTGAAATATTGGTTAATTTTCCCTTTGGGGCACCGCCCTGGTTCCTGCAGAAGAAAGTTGTCAAAATATACCTAAAAGTGTTATTTCCCTATATATACTATATATAGTAAATTTTATCCCCTTCCCAAGGAAAAACAGATAGCGCGGGGGTCCTGAAATTTACAATTTAAATAAAGCCCCTGATGCCGAGTCTGGAGAGAAGAAGATTTGTGAAATATTGGTTAAGTTTCCCTTTGGGCCCCAGGGGTTGGAGTCCCAATTTTACAATTTGGTAGCCTCATCTGACCAAGTTTGAAATAATCCATCCACTGGTTCTTGAGAAGAAGTTGAAACTGTTCCATGATATGGAGGACAGAGGTATTCTTGATCCCTCGAATGATTGCCATCTCTGTGCACTTCAGCTCGTCTTTGTGCCCGAGGTAAACAGACAGCTTCAGAACTTTAGGGAGGCATGGAACAAACACAGAATCAGGACAGAGTCCAGGAGAACTCCAGAGCAGTTATGGATGCTTGTTGACACTGATGTTCACACATCTGTGAGGGAAATGCAGGACCCAGACTCACTGCAAGACTTCGAAGCAAAACGATAATCATTTGGAGTGTCTAGGAAGGTTATTGGGTTGGATATAGAAGAAGAGAGAGTCATTGTTCCAGATGCCCTTCATCTTTCATCTGAAACCAGAGTGACTCTTTTGAGCAAAGTGCAAGACTTTGGAAGTCTAGAACATATTTGACTCTAAATTTGCTATTCAGGATTTCTGCCCCACGTGTAGAAACATTCCTAAGTGACACAAACGGCTTTTTATTACTTTGTTGTGTTTAAATTTCAATGGAGAGATAGAATAAATAAATTCAACGTGATCTGTTAAGCTGTTGTTTTGCAATTAAAGAGTTAAGAGTGCCAAAGCGTATTTCTGTGTCTCTGCTGAAAGGGACAAAATCGCCATTATTGAAAGATAAATTAATTAAATCGATCACCGCCTTTACTTTTCAGCATTTCAAAACAAATTTTATTATTATAACTTCAAGTGTTGTTTGCTGTGTTTTATTTTCTAAAAACTCCCAATAGTCCAGAAAAGTACAGAATTTTTACGCAACACCTGTCACCAGCACACCAGCTAAAAACCACATTCTTCACAAGCTCTGTACCATTGATTGGGCAGTGACTGCGGCCTCGTTAGTGTTAAATCCCGTGTTGAAATATTTGTGGACAACATCGTTCCATTTACAAATGTTGCGCGAGTCGACCTTGTGACCGAACAAATCATCGGTCGAAAGGTAGAAAATTTGTGTTAATTGTGCATTACGTCACTTCCGTTTTGGGATTTTCCGTGTGGTTTCCCTTTCACTCAGATGGTGGTAACAGAACGAACTGCTGGACATGTGAGAGTGTCGGTTCGATTGTTGCGTGAATCTGGT